AGATGTGTCTACTGTATTGTATATCTATATGCAACCATAAACATCTGTCTGAAGGGAGCAAGGATATACATTATTATTTAATTAGTAATGTTGATGACGTGCAACAAGAGAACTATAACCCCCCCACCCCCACCCCCCCCCCCCACCCACCACCCCCATCACACACACATAAATAAAAAAGAAATAGCCTCTTAAAGTCGTAGAAAATCTAATTTAAACCAAAATCAAAATAAATATAAAAAATATTAACAAAAGAACACGACTTGGTGGTGTTTTATGAATTTTTATATCAGTCACGATCTCAACAGACACTTTCCTTTTTATTTTAGGGGGAAATACATGTCAAGTTGCTCTGTAAAACCCCTCTGTAAATAGTATGGGTGGATAAGATTCTCCCTAGTAAGAAGGTGGAAAAGGAGAAAATTCTGTACTGAAGCGTACTGAGTATTTCCTATGGTGGATAATAAAGCCGGGGTTGTTTCTTCCAAGCTCGCTGCATGTCATTTCCGAAATTTTGCATTGCATTTCCGACATTTTTAGTTTTCATTTTACAATACAATCAACACTAAGTTTAGTAAAAATACAAAGTTTAGAAATAAAACGCAATAATTTCAATAATAAAACATGCAATTTTTGATCACCAAATTTTAATGCCCACTGAATTATATGTGTTTGAAAGCACCGAAAGACAGAATCTCCTCAACTTTGATTACTTTATTCCGTCAAACATAGTTTCTGTATGTCATAAATTCTATCTAAACCTTTCTGATCTCAAATTCAGTCTGATTATCTTGATTTGAAAAGATGAAAAAAAATTCACAACTTACACTTACATGTGTCCGAGGATAAAATCGTCATAAGATTCTTTTAAATATAAGCAGAACTTATTATTTGGAAATCAATGAATTATTCTTGATTTATTCTTTAATTTTTTTATAAGGGAAATTTCAATTTTGTTGTCATTGCCGAAAAAGTACTTTATGATGATAAATGTCAGAGATGAAAATTTTAAAACGTCAGAAATGAAAACTACAAAATGTAGGGAATGAAATAAACAATATTTTTAAAAAAATTCCGGAAATAAAATCCTATGCTAGGCTCATTTTCCAGAAGGGGAGGGGTCTTTAAACCCAAGCTCGTTTTTCCGGGAAAAAATATTAATGCGGTAGGAAAGTCTACAACATCAGTACTTTTTAAACTATTTCACATGTATCAGCATAATTTTGCTATACCCCACCCACCAAAAATACAACAACACCATTTATAATGTTTTCCTTTTTTTGGGGAGGGGTGTTTTATTGCTTAAAATGTTCAACTCGATTGACTTTGGTTTGATTTTGCCAATTAATGCACATCTTCCTTAACCAGTGTTAACCCTGGGGTAATATCAAGTAGAATGAAATAATCGTTAGTCTTTAACTGGACAAGAAACGATGGTTATAAAAACACGGGGGATAACACGGGGGATATGCGACTTCAAGTTTCATCAGGTGAGACAATAGGCCTACCCCTCAAAGCACAGACATGTAGTTTTAACAACAACGGGACAGGCTAGTACACCTTAACACAAGTCTCTGTCAAAGTGACCCTCCAATGATTTTATAGTTAGGTACAAATATGAATCGTAAGAATTATGCATAATTATTATTGATGATATAATGAAATATATTTCGAAAGATATGAAAATTCTTTTTGGGAAGTGGAAGTCGAACGTTGTTAGGAAATAGACTGTAATGAAATGATCATTGTTGGACTTACGAACACCATATACTGAACATTGTGCCAGTGAAGGTATGCGTATTATATATATGTATTTTTTTTTATCAATAATAATATATTTATTTTGCAATGATAATATTGATATCACTCAAACTATAAAAGACACATGTCGTACATGATTTTCATATAAGGTAACTCGATCAACGGATCTTTGCATATTTTTTGTTTTGTGCACTACCTGGGAGGTATGTACTACGATAAGGAGCTAACAGTTAATCAGTGCTAACATCAAATTTTGAATAATTTTTTGATAGATAATTTGAGGTTTTGTACTGAGATATATCATAGTATTAGAAATATAATTAATTAAAATTGGCTAACGAAATCCAGCAACTAGCGAGATATCGCAAGACTTAATCCTTTTAGTATATATACAATGTACATACATGTACGTCCCTGGAACTCCATTTTGCTGGGAGGGACACTTTTATAACAACTATACCTTAAATAATGTAAAAAGATTAATAAAGCAAATTAATTTCGAATCAATAAAGGAGAAAAATCTGCATATTAAACCGAAGGCGGACCTTTTATTATAGAGGCAGGCCGGACCTTATATGTTATCATATTAGGTCCCCCCGGACCTTTAAACGAGGCGGACCAAATATTATGCGACACCGCATAGAGAAGTTTGTATGTATTTGGTTTTGTGAACACGGGAGGGTTAGGAGAGTTTACTGTCGTTAAAATGTCATCATCCATAAAAGCGTCAAACATTTTTAACCTTCATGCCAGACAATGCATGGTACCCGTAATGAAAGCCATCTAAATACACTTTTTTCATTTTAAAATTTAAAGAAACTAATGTTGATACTTACTGTATTATTTCAAATGCAAGCGTGCAAATTTCTTAGTTTGATCACTATGGCTACAGGCATCTATACAACTTCATCCGATTTTTTTTCTCAGGTAAAATAGCGCAAGATTATCTTTCGGAAAACGCGCCTGTCAGTGATCCACCATCAGATTGTTCAAGTGTCGTATTTAAATGTCTCCTCCCCTTGATTTAAATAAACGAAACTCAAAATAGGTTCGGTACGACTTTTCCGGATTTTGGGTATCTATAGGCATTTAAAAATCTTCATTTGTTTCAAATCCATGCTGATTTAGGTGATGTTTTAACGTGATTTTAAATAGTAATATCCACTTGTGTTTAACTATTACCGAAAAAGAACAATTTGATAATATCTTCTCAAGTAAAACGGCACTGAAAAAGGGCCCATTAAGCATTGCTTAAGTGCACTTGTCCTTTCCGAAGAGTAAGTCAAAATTTGTATACTAGTATTACATGATTCACATATCTTAAATCCAACCTGACAAATTGACAATTTATAACTTGATCAAAATGAAATGTGAAGATAACGGGTAGTGATCATTCTCCAAAGTCTTTAAAAGCAATATAAATAATGTGCAGAGCTAACATGAACAACTGAAAACAGAGGCGGGATTAGGTGCCATGGAGGAGTAAGCATTCCCTGCCGATCTACCACCCTCGCCGTCATGATCGGGTAAACCAAAAATTGGTAGACAATTCAGTGAAAATAATATACTAACAATTTGAACGAAAACCTTGAGTGACCATTCGACCTTAGGACAGATTGTATTTGCAAACAAGGCATGATATCGACCATAGAATATACGAAATGTTGACTTTAAACGAGATTGTTGATAGCTTTGTATCATTAACTAATTTGCCAATATTCTGCCTAGTTTCGTTTTAGAAATATTCTTGCTTATCGAATCAATGGGGAGACATAAAGTTTATACGCAGGTGATAATGATATATTGCTACATACGTTAGAGAAGCTGAAGTTGAAGTCATCATGTTTATAATAAAGTTTAGTTGTCAGTTTGCCATCAATGTGCTTTTCTAGTAAAATATCCAAATACGCAAAGGATTTGTAAGACTATATGTTGTATTTTATTTCGAGTTCAATAGGATATAACAAAACAATGTAGGGATGGAGATGATTGATTGTATGTTGTTTTACGTCCCATTCGAGAATTTTTCATTCATATGGAGACGTCACCATATACCGGTGAAGGGCTTCAAATTTAGACCTTTACTCGGCACTCAGGGCCATTGAGCAGTGAGGGTTCTTTATCGTGCCAACGCCTGCCGTGACACGGGACCATGGTTTTTAAGGTCTCATCCGAAGGATCCGCAACTTTCACTTCATATTGCCGAGCGCTTGGCGAAGGAACACTTACACCTATTCTTTATCGACTTAGGTCAGTCGCGGCCGAGATTCGAACTCACAACCTTCCGATCACGGAGCGAGCGCTCTACCGACAGAGCTACCGCGACGGTAAGGAATGGAAATGAATATTGTTAATTGATTTAAATTCGATTGAATGCCAAAGCAAGAGACTTCCTCTTTTCATGAAGAGGTTTTTGAATAAATTCTGCTTCATATGAATACAAAAATAGAGCTGCTAGTAACAAAGGAAATTAGTACCCTTGGGAATTCCAACAGTTTTTTGGAAGACCTCCCAAAACCACATAGATTTTTGTCAATGAGAAACTCAAGCATCTTTTTAAAATCAACTTCGGAGTACTGGTGTGTAGAATTAGAATGTTTTTAACAAAACAAGTCTGCAGATGACCAGTTACAAGATATGCAAATTTACGTGTTCTATTTTTATTGAAGAAGCAGTTGTCTATGATGTCAAGGTGTGATTTTTAATTTATCGTGGGGAATGATTGTATAAAGTGTTGAAGGTTTTGCCTTTTGATACTATTGATTTTGGTAAAATTTTTGTTTTCAAATTTTCTAAATGTGCATTGGTGTTTTTAAGTGTCCCCATCTGATTTACACCACTTCTCAAATATGTTGTTGTACAATACCCCTTTAGTGTCTCCTTCACTGCTGTTAATATATTTTTTTGAGGAGAAAAGAAAGAGGCTTTGTTACAACATTAACTAGAACCAGCTATATATCTGTCTCTCTTTGTTAAGATTTTTAATGTATAAAAAATGTAATCAGTAACCAAACTGCAAGATTTAAAAAAAAAAACAAACAAAACACGAGGCCAATTGCAAAAAATGGAATTAAACTATAGTTTTTTGTGTAAAGATGAACATTTAAATTGTGATAACCAGTGGTGTTTATGGCACAATCTACAATCTAATTCCATAGTTCAAAGTTCTGTCGATGGATGGATCCAAACTCAGTTTAAGGTACTTGTCAACATATTAGTTATCCTTTTCTTTCCAACAGATAAGCTTACAGTCAACGAACACGGAATCTCAATAGTTGCAGGAGATGTCTGGGGCGCTCTAAGGGGACTGGAAACACTCAGTCATATCACTGTCTGCAGTCATAATAAGGTTTATTTTCGTTTTAATCCTAGTTTTAATCATTATTAATCTTGTATATCCTCTTTTGATGCCCCACTGACACATCCTTGATATTTTCTTGACAGCATAAGGGTGAATATATGTACATTCTGTTTAAAATAATTTTTCTTCATTGTTTTATAATGATATTTACTTGTTTGAGGGATGCAGCTCTCCCTTTGAAATTAAACAAGTGATATTATGTTATGAAATAAAAGAATTAACTTTTTCAAGTTTTATAATTTTCAATTACTTAACTTTGAAAAAGGTCATACTGAAAGATACAGAAATCGAAGATTTTCCCCGATTTCCACACAGAGGCATCATGGTTGATACTGCCAGACATTTTATGAGTAAAGAAACGCTCTTCCAGATTATGGTATTTTTCATATTTTGTCTGATAAAGATATGATTTGATTTAGATAGATTTCAAAAATCGGCTTTGATAATCAAGAGATTTGATTGAATTAACAGCGAGGAATGGAGATGAACAAAATGAACGTCATGCACTGGCATCTCTCGGATGATCAGTCCTTTCCTTTCCAAAGCAAAGTTTTCCCAGAACTGAGTGTAAAGGTACATGCGTATTAATAAAAAAAAGATACATAAAATGAATGAACTTGAATGCTTATTTTAAAGTAATTTGACTGGGCAGCTTTGAATTGTATGTAAGTTATAAAAAGAGAGTAATAAGCTTGAATATCGACCGTTGTCTTTTTGTTTCTGGTGTCAATTACAGGGAGCTTTCCATCCCTCGCTGGTCTACACACATGATGACGTGAGAGAGATCATAGAGTTTGGGAGACTGAGAGGAATACGGGTTATTCCCGAGTTTGACACACCAGGTATAAAGTTTTTTTTTCTATCGCTCATAAAATGTTAATACCACTAGCAGATCCAACCTTTTATAGATCTGTCTAACCATTCATTTGTATTCGTCTGCATTTGTTGACTAATTTGTATTTAAGGTCTCCTGTCACCATTCTTTAAAATCATAATATGCGATGGGACTGATGTATTTAACCTTTATGTTCCTTTCTAAAAAACATGTATTTTATTGTTCGTTTAGCACATACCCTCTCCTGGAGTTTCAGTAAGCCAGAATTACTTACTCAGTGTTACCATCAAGGACAACCTGTACCAGCTTTGATGGGACCGATGAACCCAGCACGGAACAGTACATATTTGTTCCTGCGAGAATTCTATAAAGAAGTTCTAGGTTTATTTCAGGACCAGTTCGTTCATGTTGGTGGTGATGAAGTGCCTTTTGAGTGCTGGTAATTTAATGAAGTTTCTTTACTAACATTATTTTTAAATACATCAAACATTTATGAAACTTTTCTGTAAGATGTTCTATTTTTGTCGAATTACATAAACGCGTAGGAATTCAAATACTGAAGTAGTAAGCTTTGCAAAAGAAATGGCGAGATTCTCCAAAGAAAATCACGTAGGGAAGATGTTCAACGGAAACAATCAAGATATGATAAGAATACTGGATTATTTCACAAAAAGGCAAGTACAAAATAACGAGTGAAGAGTTCGATTTCAAATATTATTTACTGATTTAGCGACAGGGAAGATAGTTTTTTTCTTCAAGGAAATCTACTATTTTTTTAAAGTTAAAATACGTGTATTTTAACTGTTACCTAGATTAGAGTAATTGACTTACGATATAAGGAGGTAATCAAGTCAAAGGTTAAATATCATAAATCATCATTTTTTAAAATCCATTTTCTCATGCTTGAATTGCCAACGCTGTCCTTTCTTTCGTTTGATAAAAAAGTATATAGATAAATTTATTATAACCTTTATCAATACATAAAAAATATTATCGATTCGGATATTGCCCATTAATTTCATGCATGACTAAATGTTTAGATATTTCGATAGAAAGCCTGTTAGAATATGAAACATCTTTGTGGTTTATTTCTACTCGACATTTTTTCATTAAGGTTGATAGCAGATATTAAAGATACAGCTAAACAGAAAAACAATGATGTCCGGTTTATTGTATGGGAAGAAGCCTACACGAAAAAACTCAGTGTAAGCAATATATATCTTTACATTTTTGTTGTGTTTCATTTGTAGAAAGAATGCATTTTGCCTTACACTTCAAGTATAATGATTTCGTACAAAAGAAATTTAAGAGAGGTTTGAGACAGATATTTTTCTTTTCAAAATAACTTTATTCTTGCATTTCTCTCAAATCTATACTTTCATATCTTTATTGAAATTCAATGCAAAATATGAAGAGAAAAACATGAAATTCCCCATAAAATCCTTGTCAATTTTCTGGAACTTGATGAATTTGATGCATATTTATGATCGACTTCCTAAAAAACTCAGCAGGAAAAAAGTCATACTTCATCTGATGCTTCTAGTATGTTTCTATAAATTCTTCAATTTAGCATTAAATCATTGTGTTTTGAAACGCGTTAACGCGTTACTCAATTCATTTGCACACACCGTTGCAGTTATGAGACTACTATCTTTCAAAACATAATGATTTAATTTATATTTACATTTTTAACTCCTTGCCTTGAATGCAAATGTGAGTAAGATCTCAAAATTCCTGTATTATCCTTTGGTTAAGTTACAATTAATGGAAGAGCAATTGCAACAGCTTCTGTTTAATTACTATGTAGAAACAGACTAGGGTAAAGTGCGTTACCCTAGTCCACGATGGCAATAGGCAAAAACGCTTCACATTTTCTTGTACAAATATTGGTGATTTCTAGCGTAATAAAGTTTTACTTTATTTTGCACCAATCTGTCGGGCAGCTTCGGTTTTACATGCTCGCTTGGAGATTGTATTGAACTTTACCGTAATTAAAAAGAAAATGCACGTCAAAGTTTTGCTGCTGATTAGGGTAAAGTTTCTGAACTATTTATTTACGATTAGGGTAAAGTTTTTTTTCGAAACTAGGGTAAAGTTATTTATTCTACAATCTGATTGTGCACGATTTCGATATTTTAACTGCTTTATACAATTTATATACTTGGAAAGGGCTTTCTCGAAAATCTTCAAGAACTGTTTCTTTCACAAAGAGATCATTCCGATTGAATTTTTTTAATAACCACAATTTTCATACAAAATGTTACTCTTATTATAAACATTATATATTTCGTTTCATCTAAATATTTTTTTATTGTTAAATAAATACAATTGTATACATTTATAAATGATGTGATTACTTTATTTGATTTAACTTTAAGTATTGTTTTCCTGTATAAATCTGAATCTATTTTCAATCATTTAATCCTCACTTTGGGCCAAATTATCGAAAATGAGTCAACAACCTATGTCTGATTTGCATTTGTTGATACTCGACAGTAACAGAGTTAAATCCGCATTGCGGGTAATTGAAATAAACTTTTATCAATTGAAATGCGAAAATAACAAACAGTTATCATGCTTAAAGTCCAATTAAACAATACAGATTGTGAGCAGAGCAAACAAGGACCTCTGAAAACATCAGAGGTGAGATCAGGTGCCATAGGGAGTAGGCATCATCTATCGATCGGTCACCTCCGCCACGTATCCTTTGTTTTAATCAGATAAACGGAAAATGTGTCCACAATTCAGAAAGAAATTACTGAACTCACTGTTCATATGACAGACATCAGTCAACATTCGAGCTAATAACATAATGTATTTGCTAACAAGATCATTGCATTGACCATAAAATTTGCAAAATGTTGGCTTTAAACGAAATTGTTGATACCCTTATCATCAACTTATTCGTCAGTAGTTTTAGAAATTGCTCGTAAAAAACATGTTCTTGCTCTTCGAATCCACTGACAACATAAGCCCTTATTGCAAGTGAAAATGATATATTGCTTCACAAATAAGAGATGTTGATAATAGAACATTTGAGGTTGTCACGTTTATCATAAACTTTTAAGCTTAGTTGTTACAGTTTACCATCAATATCTTTCTTGAGTAAAACATCCAAATATATAATGTGTCAGAATCTGTAGTATCTTTTATTGAATTTAATGGGAGATATATCGAATCAATGTTTGAATAAAAATGAAAATTGTTAATTGACAAAACATCATCAATATATCTATATGTTAAATTGAAGGTCACAACAAGAGACTTCTTTTCTAAACTTGATCGTAAATATGGAAACAAGTGTCGGATTTTTGTTTTAAAGTATAATAATGTAACTTTGAAGATATCGAACATTGATCAATTTCAAAAATCAATAAACAAAAAGAAACATAGAAATGTATTTACAATGTGCAATGATGACGACATAGCTCTATCAATATTTATTTACAAAATGATTTTGACAAATATAATGTAATGTCAATACCTCCAACACAAAGAGCGCACTTTTTGTTCGGAAAGAATTTCTGTGCGTTTGCTAAGGAGATTGAACTTAAGTGTTATGCTTTTCTAAGAATAATTTATTGAATGCTTGAATACCAATTTTTTTCTTAGTTAAGAATATTTTAAGTACTTAGCTGCAAGTTTTATATGAAAAAACTTACACAAGTTTTTTGGATCTAAGCCCAGGTTAATCTGCATTTATCGTACGTACTCTTGGACAAATCTTTGCCAACGTTTTCTCAATAGGTACAGCAAAGTTTAGTTTGTCCGTTTTTCTCAATGTAAGGTTAAGCGAGTAAGTGCTAGTAAAATAACATTTTCTGTATAATATGCAAATCTAAATACCAAAAAAGTAATCGAGAGAGGGTATACACATAAGTTGATGACACAAGGATATCAACCATCTCGTTTAAAGTCAACATTTCGCAAATTCTGTGGTTGATACAATGACCTGGTTTGCAAATATAATCTATCGATAAGTCCAATGTTGACTGACGTCTTTCATACGAGACCGTCATGGTAGCTCAGTCGGTAGAGCGCATGCTCCGTAATCGGAAGGTCGTGTGTTCGAACCACGGCTTCGACTGACCTAAGTCGATAAAAAATAGGTAACAACTGTTTCTTCGCCAAGCCCTCGGCACTTTGAAGTGAAAGTTGCGGGTCCTTCGGATGAGACATTAAAAACCGAGGCCCCGTGTCAAGGTAGGCGTTGGCACGATAAAGAACCCTCACTGCTCAATAGCCCTGAGTGCCGAGTAAAGGTCTAAATTTGAAGCCTTCACCGATATATGCTGTGGTCTCTATATAAGTGAAAAATTTTGGAATGGGACCGTAAAACAACATACAAGCAATCGATCATCTTTCATAAGAATTATTACGCCTTTTTCCCATTTACCTAATAATGAAAAGAATACACGGCAAGATTTACAGGTCGACAGGGTATTCTCACTCCTCCCTGACACCTTATCCCACCTCCGTTTTCACTTCTCAGAGGTCCATGTTTGCTCTGCTCATAATTTGTAATGTTTGAATTAGATTTTGAGCATGATTTCTGTTCGTTCACATTTTCACATTTCATTGATGATATTTTAATTGATCTGTAGATGTTTGAAAAGTTTATTGCCGTAATCTAAATCAACAGAACACTGTTTTCAAGACTTTTTTTTATTAACAGAAACATAAACTGATCTGAACAAAATTAACCATTGGGCTCTTCTAGAAATTGTCAACGCGCTGAGAATTTTTCAATTACATAGTTTTGGGTCAGCAAAATAGCATTTTTAAACCCTGAAACAAGCAAAATTTTACATTTTACACATGCTTTACCCTAATCACTCAAAGAGGTCACAAAATATTTACCCTAGTCGTTGAGAGCAAGAGCCACTTAGGGCCTTTTTTGGCCCTGAGAATTTCTGAAAAATCGAAACTGCTCAGTTTTGGTTGAAAATGCAGTATTTATAACTTGGACCCCTGGTGACCGTGTATCAATTGAACATGACGTAATTTTCTCTCTAGTCAATGCATTATGACGTCATAAAATGCGCCATTTTTCCCGTATCCTGTAAATTTCTCTACTTTATTTTGATATATGAAATGGGATGGAGGATGATAGTCAATTAATTGATATAAGGACAGGGCCATTTTATGCATAAAGTGAACCTAGCTCTTTCTGTTACCCTAATCTGGTTCAATTTTTCTACCCGTAATTTGGCTTTAATCATCGCAGATCATGCAATTTTTTTGCAAAAGTTACGTACTTCTGTTCATAAAATAATAGAATAAAATCATAGAATAAAACCACCCATTTCATAATTTAAGCCTGTATAATGCGTAAACCAAGTGCAAAATAATCAAAGCGCATTTGCCTATCCCCATCTTGGACTAGGGTAACGCACTTTACTCTAGTCCGTTTCTACACAGTGTTTAATGTGAGGATTAATTTTGAATTTCGCTAATGACGTTGCACTTCCACGGCGTAAGTTACAATTAGTTGAAGAGCCATTGCAACAGCTTCTGTTCAATGGAATTTCGCTTATGACGTTGAGCTTCCATGGCTTTCAACGTTTGTGACGTCAAAATAAAACGCATAATATAACCTTTTGACCCCCTGTCAGTGTTATGGTGTTTAGAATGCTGTATCTTTTCTCACACTTTCTACGCAAATTACATACGGAATTTAAATACTGTAGAATAAGAAATCATGACTTTAAAAGAAAACAAATAAGTAAACCAAAATTTATATTTTACAAATGTCTGATATAATAGAATTTTTGAGTATCCTGTGTCTTTAGAATCGGGCAATCTCACGAATCACAAATAAATGTAAATAAAATGTGTATATCTTTCATGAAATAAAACTTGTGTCTCTTTCTTATGACAGATTTCAGAGAATACAGTTGTTCAGTTGTGGTATGGTGGACAAGACAGCGTATCCAGCATTACGGCTGATGGCTTCTCTGTTATTTATTCATCCTGTTGGTATCTGGATCAAGTAATTCCAGGCATACAATGGCAGAAATTTTACACATGTGACCCAGTGTCACAGCGTATGTACTGTGGTTTCTTGTCTATTTAATCTATATTTCTATATGAATCATAAATAAAAGATCGCCCATGATTTGTAGTTGGATATGATTTTTATCCCACGAGTTGTGTTTTTTTTAATCCCCGAGCCTTGTCGAGGGTTAAAAAACACACAACGAGTTGGATAAAAATCATATCTAACTACAAATTATGGGAGATTCTTTTTATCCCATGTTTTATACATCACTATCAATATTTTACACATTTTATATAGGAATCCACTTCATTTTACTTCATCACTCACGCAAAACCCAGCAAAAAAATTTCCAGTGAGTGATATCCACGTGATAAAAGGGTAAACATGGGATAAAAGATAATATTCAATGTTATGCGATTGGTTCACTAGTGGGAAAGAATTTTTAAAAAAGATTTCGCGACCGAAGATAAATTTATATTGTCCCAGCAAAGAAATGAATTCCACAATCAACTAAAAATAACACTGGATTTTCTGTTTATCTTTTTTTTCTTTGGTTGGCTTTTTTTTAACTTATTAGTTGTTTTACTTTTAAAATTCTAAAACAATTTCAATTTACTTTGGTTGGCTTTTTGAACTTATTAACTGTTTATTTATTAAAAGTCTAAACAATTGTTGTGTGGTGATTACACATGCACAGTCATAAAACATGTTGTAAAAGATAACGAACTCATTAAGTTTGAATAATAATTATAAGGCTTTGATTTTTAACGTTGATCTTTAAAAAATTAGTTTTATTAAGCAGATAAATTACAGTATTTAATTGTGAAATTGTAAAAAAGGTAGAAGTTTACCAAAAAGGAAACATTACCAGAAACATTATATTCATTAATCAAGTACTTGGATAATATTAATTCCTATCCATATTCATGTGTGAAACATGGAAGGAACTTTCAAAAAGATTGTTTTCTCTTTTTCCCTTGAGCAGAATTTAAAGGAAATTTGTCTAAGGTTTTACGGTGAAGTCTGCATATGGAGCGAACACATCACTAATGAAGATGTTTTAGTCAAATTGTGGTATGTCTATCAGTCCAGTAGAAATCAAGCTATCTATAATTGTACAAACTTGATTTGGTTCTCTTTATATATGTGTCTTTGAGTGGACGAAATAAGAATACCAGGTATAATTGCCTGAAGTTTTACAAAAAAAAAAAAAAAACCCATTAAATACACATAAAATATTGAACAAGAAGAACTTAATACATATTATAAATACTTGCATAAAAGAAAAATTACATAGAAAAGCGGATGATATTTCAAGTAAAGATTAGCTTGTAATTGTCAAGGCCTATCGCGTCTGCGGCTGCTGAAAGGCTTTGGAGTGCTCCATCTGTGACTAATGTAGAAGAAGCTGCGCCTCGTCTAGAGGAACAAAGATGCCGAATGCTTAGGTAAAGTGATCATGTCTAACTGAATTTTATTGAGTTTGAATTCAATTTTGAGTTATAAAATTCATGTTTTTACATACCTACATCTGCATGTAGGAATGACATACTAAAAGTTGTGCTTGAGATAAATTTTTCTTACTAATTTGAAAGAAGGCATTAGATACTTCAGAATATGTAGAACTCTCTGATTAAAACATTCTTTTGCATTAATATTTGGTATGAATGAAATCGAAAATCTTCTTGTAGAAGGGGAATTCCTGTGGGAAGTTCAAGTGGGCCTGGTTTTTGTATAGTTCAAGAGCATTCGCCTCAAGATTTTAGTTTCGGAACATATACAAAGAACAACTTTATAGTACATTCCAAGAGACGTTATAAGGTAGAATGTTTTAATTTGTAGAAGTGTATTTCATTAATGTTTGTAGCTAATTCCTTTTTATTTCCTAAAGATAATTATCAATGGCCAATAAATAGTCGAGGTTATTTAAAGTTTTGTGGTTGAATACACGTGAGACAAGATTATTTTAATATATTTTCATTCGTGCTTCGCACGTGTGAAAGTATCCAAAATATCCTGTCCCAATTGTGTTCAGTAAATTCCATAGCCGACTACAAAATATTGAATTTTCTGTTTATTACATTTTCTTTGATTTTTCACTTTGTCTCTGTCTTTTCGTAGCACTGTGTCATAGGCTGTGATGTCATAGTTGAGCAGTTGAGATGTCATGGCTTAGCTATTGTGAGATTGAAAACATTGTAAACATTATTTGTTGAAGGTCACGCCTTGTATTTCTTAAAAAAAAATATTCATCGGCAATTGCTTCCAAACTTTTATATTATGAAAACTCTATAGTGTCTAGATATCGAACATCTGAAACATAATCCCCCAACGTGTTCACGTTCTTCTTCACTTTACAACTATAGTCCTTCTGGATACGATATTACTGGTGACGTTAATATAGTTTACAATAAGGACTTTTAATCACTTATTTTAAAAGGGCAAAAAATAGGGAATCCCGAACTTTCAACTGGCGTCATTTCATAAATATTATGAATTCAGTAGAAGATTATGCCAGACATTGGGCCAAATATGAAAAAGAAGACCTTGACACTTTGTCAGAATGGATCAAATATATCAGATGGATGTTGGTTAAATATTAAGCGATTGGGGGGTAATATGAAAACCATCTATTCTTCTGTCTTCGGCAATTCGAAGTGCAACAAGAATGGATAGATTACACGACCTGCTGACAAAGCAGGTAACAACATTGTCTTTGTTTGTAAGGCTCATTATTTGAATTGTATTTTAGAGGAACTAGGATTTAATTCTGCAAGTGGCAATCCAACTTTTACCCAAACCTCCCTTTCTAAGGAGGAAATTCTTCAAAACCATATGTCAGTTTTAATTTTTTTTTATATTCCTAACAATCAAAATAAATTTGGATTACCTTGGATGCCTATACTGGATTCCAAAACTCCATAAAAGTCCTTACAAACAAAGTTATATAGCGGGTTCCAGTAAATGTTCTACCAAACCTCTTTCTTAACTTCTCGCTAAAATATTTAGAGCAGTGAAGGAGAAACTTCAGGAGTACTGCACAACAGTATATTCGAGAAGTGGTGTAAATCAGATGTGGATACTTAAAAACTCCAGTGGAATTTTAGAAAATTTGAAATCACAAAATTTTAACAAAATCAATAACAGCAAAATGTACGACTTTTCAACACTTTATACAACCATTCCCCCACGATAAATGAAAGTACAGGCTTTTTAACATCATAGACAGCTGCTTTTTTAAATAAAAATGGGAAAACGTACTTACCTTGTCAATGGTTATTTGCAAAATTACTTTGTTAAAAAAACATTCTGGTTGTACACACAAGTACTTTGAAGTTGATATTTTAAAATAATGCTTGACTTCCTGATTGAAAATATCTATGTACACGGTATTTTTTGGAGGTAAGCTCTTCCAACATCTGTTGGAATTTCCATGGGTACCAATTGCGCCCCCTTATTAGCAGACCTATTTTTTGGATTCATGTGATGCAGAATTTATTCAAAAACTTCTACATGAGAAGAAGAAAACACTTGCTGTGGCCTTCAACTCGACATTTAGATATATCGATGGGGTATTAATAATCAAAAATAGTTATTCCATTTATGTGTCGACTCGATATATTCCAGTGAGCTTGAAATAAAAGATAACACAGAGTCTGACACATCTGTTTAATATTTGGATATTTTACTATAAAAGGACTTATATGGTAACCTAACAGCGAAGCTTTATGACAAACGTGATGACTTCAAATTTTCTATTGTCAACTTCCCTTACTTATGCAGCAATATACGTTTGTCACCTGCATTTGAAGCTTATGTCTCTCAGTTGGTTCGATACATAAGAGTATGCTCTACGTATGAACAATTACTAAAATGAGACAAGTTATTGACAAACAAGTTGATGAAACAAGGATGTCAACAGAATCTTTTGAAGTCATCATTTCGGAAGTTTTATGGTCGATACAATGACCTTGTCAGTAAAAACAACTTATCATTAAGTCAAATTATGACTGACATTTTTCATACTAATTGTTAGGCCATAACATGTATTTACACCTGAATTGTCTACGGACTTTTTTCCGTTTTCCCCGATCATCACAAGTAGCACGATGGCTCTGAATGGTCGGCTAGGGATGCTCACTCCTCCATGGCACCAGATCCCACCTTTTACGTACTTTGAGGTCCGTATTTGTTCTGCTCCCGATTTGTACTTTTTAAATGGACCTTGAGCTTGAATACTGTCGGTTATCTCCATATTTCTTTGGAGAAACTCTGGCATATTTAGCTTCTGTCAGGATGGTTTATTTACTCTATCTTATTAAAGGTCAGGGAGTATTAATTTATTTTTTTTTACAAAATTCTTCATGAAGGGAAGGAAAATCGAGAGTTTTGTCGCACTTCTGGTATTCTGTCACACAGTGACAGAATATCGTTTTGATACCCTTTTACACTTTGACAGAATATCTTTCATTCAATAAATGATAACAGTGTTTCACTGCTGAAATTGTAATAAAATGTTTTCTATTTCTTTTTTATTTTAGCATTTACCAGGTATATCCTTCGTTATATCCATCCTTGGGATTTTAGCCTGTGTTTATGTCTCCAAAAGAACGTTCCTTTATAAAATTGTGGGTCTATTAAGGTATCTTTTTTCAAATATATCTCAAAAAGTTTTTAGTTCACCTGAAAAAGAGGCTCTTTTGAGCATTTTCTGATCAAAGTTATCCGGCATGTGTCTGTATGTATGGATAGATAAAACTTTCCAAATTTTTAACTTCTCTGAAACCACTGTGCAACAAAGCTAAATACGAGGTGCGAATGGGAATTGAAGCTTCTTTACATACAGTACCATGTCTTATTTTCAAGAGACGATAATGTAGAAACACATCTAAGAAAACTATTCTGGTGACTTTTAAAAATCTCTCTTCAGATCCCTAGATCCGAAGAAGTAACAGAAGTTGCCTTATGTAGCTCAGATTCAATTGTGTTCTTATCACACAACCTGTGGGGGGTGGGGGGTGTTTGGCCACGTTGCAACATAAGATGGGGCGGAGGGGGGATTCAGTCGATCCTTAAATGATTTTTTTAAGAGAAATTACCAGCAAAAGATTTCTTTTCTGGAAAAAGAGATGCTTTGCAAATTTAAGTTTGTGCAGTGCTTGACCTATATACTGGACTAGATGGGGTCGAAATATGGGTGCAATGTTTATGCATATTTATAAGGTAATTTATGATATAAAGCATCTACATTGTATTTCAAAATAAAGTCAAATGTAGATTTGTTTTTTTTTTCAAATTCATCACTCCTAGGTGTTATGGTGGAGACACAGCAAGATGATACGATAGATGTTCTACAAAACAACAAAATTATACGATAGATGTTCTACAAAACAACAAGATTATACGATAGATGTTCTACAAAACAACAAAAATATGTTTTTGTCATATCTGTACACACATATCATCAAGATTATACGGTAGATGTTCTACAAAACAACAAGAATTTGTTTTTGTCATATCAGTAGACACATTGATCCTTAATATATATGGTCTCTTAGTTTAGATTGAAGGGGATTACTATATACTGATTTGCCACACAGAGAGAGAGAGAGAGAGAGAGAGAGAGAGAGAGCGCAATATGATTGAGGTGAGCATTGTGGTACATCAATCATTTGACAGAGGGGTTGTGAATTTTCCTAACTTTATTTAGAACTCAAATTCTAATCTTTATTTGTATTTATTTTCACTTTTTTATCTAGAGGACGAAGAGGAAAATAGTCTCGATGAATGTAGGTATACATAATATACATGTACATGTTTCGATACAAATTACTTTTAATATGAAGATAAATTTTACATTTTTATATTGATTTCAAATATTAAGGACTACTTTATGAGTTTACTTTCAACTTGATTAACCATCTTAAGTGAAAGGTTTCCGTCTTAGCTCATCAAGGAACACTTTATCATTAAGACCAATCTAACCGCAAGGAATAAAAATCCTTGGCACCTGATCCCACCTCTGATGTCTTAGAGGTCCATGTTTGCTCTGCACCTATTTTGTAATGTTTAATGGACTTTTGAGCTCGAATACTGTTCGTTATCTCCACATATTTCATGATCCTATCCAAAGGAAGAAAATGCTTGAGATCAGTTTCTTCTCTGACAGAAAGGAAGAATTTCGGGCGTCTCTTGTTAATTCATGAACCCCATTGTCTTTATAAGGCGTTGTCTTGAATATGAATAGTAAATGGAATTTTTTTTTATTCTACAGATATTTCTTACAGTGACGGACAGTATCAGGCGAACGCAATGAGTGCATTAAAAGTAAAAATAAATTATCTGATATTGTGTTCTGTATCACCTGTTAAGAAAGTAATATGTCATCGGATGGAGAAATTATTCATAAATTGACGATCAACATTTCGGTTGACCAACACAAGAAAAACAAGGGCATTTGTTTTACTATGTCCGAGGAAAACATACAGGAAATACAGGTAACATCCTGTGTATATTGAGAGGTTTACACAAGCCAGCGTGGTTCCCTCGGGGCTTCACAACTGCTTCAATAAAGCTCCACCCTACACCAAACTTACCCGAGGAAAACCGACCGGTTGAAAATCTTGGCCTCAAGCCAAAAAAATTTCAGAACTACCGAAGAAACACCTTCTATGGATAAAATTCTCATTGGAATCCTAGTTTGAGTGTAAAATCGTTATTTTGAAATACATGTTAACGCAAGTCTTGACAGAGCAATGAAATTTGTTTTGATATTTACTATTTTTGTCCAATCAATTTCAGATGTTAAAAATTTTGGGCATTTTTGTTTAAACAGAAATTATGCAATGCCTGGATTGATAAGCATCTTTTTACTATACCAAACAACCAATGAAGTGTATCGGTCATGCAAAAAACCAAATTAGCAGGAAAGTGCAAAATTTAAATTAATCCAAATTCTGCAGCTTTAAATAAAGAAAATAACATGGAAAAACTCAGAGGAATGAAAAGTAATTCGAATTAAATCAGGACACTTATTCTCTTTTTCTTTTTCGAATCTCAGCATCTTCAAAATGATATAGAAATTCATAATAAAATGGCACTGTACTTTATTGAATGCATGAAATGAAATCAATAATATTGAAATTGATTGCTTTTTAATATTTTGATTAATAGATATTGCTATCTTTTAAAATTGTTCTCCTTTTTGTGGAATTCATATGAGTTTTTATCAGTAACTTGAAATAAAGTGCCTTTAAAATGTATATGTGAATTCCTGTACCTTAGACAGTTTATTTTGCTTATTTGCATTTACTGCTGTTTGAAAAGTCCTGAAGGATTATGTTTAAGTGCCACTCCATTCGTTAAAAAAAATAATGGAGCTGAACCCCCGAAGATGAGGCATATACATGTAGACTATTAAAGGGGCATGAAAACTCTTGAATTAAATTTCAGTTTACAATTTTAAATTTCTTTTTTATTAAAAAAATAACTTCAATTAAATGATTTGAACTAACATGAAAATTTAAATTGTCAGTGACAATGGCATTCTTCATGACCTTTTATCAACCACCTGTATTTGTAAACATTGGAACGAGCTCTGTTATTATTTATGTTTTACAGGATGTGTTCGATTTGCTAACTCTGCACACATCACTGAACACGGAATGATAACATCGTTGTGTTGGTTTTGCTTTCCTTTTCCTAGTAGTTTCTAATTTTTCTTTATTACTGTTATAATATCTTTTATTAATACACCACATATTTTCCTTTCTTCTAAAATACTAGGAATAAATTTCAGTTCGAATCTGAAATTCGTACTTTTGATAATTTTCAGAGAAAATATGTTTCTACACATGAATCACATGTAAGTGATATGATACTGTATTAAACCAGAAATTTTGGGGAAAAAGACTTCAAATATGTTTTTATGCCCCTTTAAGGAATGGGGAGGTACGAGCATCGTATTGTTCTACTGGAAAATCTCATTTGGCTCTCGAAATTTATTCCAGTGTAAAGTAATGGAGAACTCCACGCTGTTGTTTTAATTTTAAATATTTTTCACTAAAATGTTTTCTAACTAAATATAAAACTACGTTTTTGTACATTCTATACGTACACACGGATAATTCGGGTAACATTAACGATATTTTGTCATTTCTCAGTAATTACAGAATTTCACATGCAAACAAAGGGTCTTGCATGCGATGATTTAAGAGCAAGTTTACTGAGACAAAAGTGGTCAAAAAGATGGAGACCTTTGTACCACACAGTAACGTTCTTATGCATCATTCTTTCAGCTGTTCTTTAGAATCTGTAACAACAGTAATGGAACCTTCAGTAGGAATAAAAATATTCTAAGGCCTTAAGATGTTAAAAAAAATAATAAACGTGATTTTAAAATGTACAGGATACCAATTCACATGTATATTTTTAAGAAGTTAAATGCTGCAAAGATGTTGAATTCAAAAGCTTTATTGAGGGGGAAAAAGGTCCTTATGAGAGTCTGATTAGTTTTAATTTCAAATTTATTCCCTTTTTGAGGGAATGATGTAGAAGCTAACTCAGATAATCATTACTACTGAACCTTTTTGACTTAAAGTAACATAAAAAGTACACAAAATAAGAAACTCTTATGATGGGATTTTTTTTCGTTTTAAAGTAGACGCATTATTTTTCCCGTACACTTATAAACAGCTTAAGTTAAATGAAAACAAAAGCTGTTTTATCTTTTAGAAAACTTGTTTTGTTCACCAGATAGCCGAGTATAATTGATGCACTGTAAAATTCTTTTAAATACAATAAATGTTTAAAAATACGGAAACCTTCGTGGCAAACATGTCATATGAGTGTAAATGCTAACATGGATGGAATCAACTGTGGTTAGCCACAGCAGAGTTCAATGAACAATTGAATCGATCTTGCTTTCCAAAAATAGTCTTTCTTAAATTAGTCTTTATTTAGATGTAGATCGTTTAAACGACATTAATATAAAATCGATCCTGCTTTGTCGTTCGGGTCAAAATGGACTTCATTTCTTATACCACATATAAGAATTTTTATAGAATCACTCCAGTCATACGCCATTTGACTGTCACGTGATCGTATTCTGACATGCCATACAGCGTCCCCTTTACGTAAATCCCATTTGAGTTTGCACAGAGAAACAGAGAAGTCTGTTTTATAAATCCGTATAACAGGTGCTTTTTTCTCTGTCAGAGGTAACCATTCAGTGTTTGTCATAATCTCCAATTCATACATGTAACTGACACCAAGCTTTGTGTTTTTTATAGACCACGTGATGTCTATTTGAGTTGGTGAATTCTGATCTATCACAATTTCTTTCTTTGAAATAGAAACCTTAGGTTTAGTACATGAATTTTCTGGTGCTTCCTCTTCAAAGATATTTGGCAATATAATATCACAATCTTCGGGTTTCTGTGCAAAGGTTTCTTGGAATGGAAGCGAGTATTGTCTATGTAAATTAAATTTCGATGATAAGGTTTCAGCACCATCCTTTTCATAACTACAAAATAGAATATATAATCAATATATGGATACATTTTTATATCTTTATTTCATTGTTTTAGATTTTATGAAATCTTAATGTTTTAGACTTCGATTAAGATAATCATTCACAAGAATTCACAAGCACTTAAATTTGTCGTTAATTTCGAAGAAGTTTACATTGTTATGAAAATACGAGATTTATCTGTATCCTCTTCCGGTCACAAGTTTACAGATTGTTTTAAATAGATCACCTGAGCCCATCAGATGACCGATTGTGAGTGGTCAATTGTCATCGTCCGTTTACAAATCTGTATTTTTCAGCATCTTGAATTCTACTTTACCAGTTGTCTTCAAATTTGATACAAAGCATGTTAGGGATAAGATGACATAAAGTGTTAATATCCTAATTATTGTACCCATGAGACCCTACCTTCAAGGCATAAACTCCCAAAATAGTCACATTTTTAACAATGTTTCTTCTTCAACTAGACAGTTAGGAAACTGAATGCAGAGTAAGAATGGGCATTCACTTAATCATAGAATTTTTTCTCTTCATCTGAAGATAACTGATTGATGATTAAAAAGCGCATGATGCCTTCTACCGAAATTAAATACTTTTCTTGACGCCAGGGACATTTTCTACCTCTAAGGGGGGGGGGGGGGTCATATAGTGAAAATGGACATAATATAGATAGTTTTCGATAGACACGATTTTAGCAAGAGTTATTTCCCTTTTGGTCGCCATATTGGAGGTATACAAGCCCTAATTCCTTCATTATTTAACCAATTTAAAATTGTCATACTGGGCAATTGGGTAAAGATAACACAATTTTTCTTATGAAATTAATTTTAAACAAGTTTCCTTTAATTCGTAATTTTAGATTTTTGCCCTTATATTTCTGCCATACAGGTTTAAAATTGGTTGCTCAAAGAGGAAAATTCGATAGTTGGACCTCCAAGATGGTGGACAAGGGAAGTAACTCGCAGGGAAAATACGTCATACGAAAACTATCTATTGGAAAAAACTTCTTTACTCTTGTACATCTAGAAGTAAAACTGGTACTTAACCTTTATGGAAGGGAATTACCGCCAAAAGTCTATTTATCTTGCTTTTATTCTTATTCTGCTTACTTCTTTATTCTTTGTTATTATTGTAACTATATGTCACTTTATTGTTTTCATATTCGTCTTTATTACATTTCACTTGGAACTTTTTTCATTCTTCATTTTGTCCTTACTTCTATGTTGCTTTATTCTTGTAAATTCGTTCTTCTTTCTTTTAAATTGATACAGTTTCTTTAATAAATAATTATGATCATCTCTATTACAAATGTAAATTCAGTCACGCAAACCATGAAGCGCATTCAACGAAGACAAATACAAGTAGTGTGAATTTAATGCGGCATTATAACGCTAGGTGGCAGGGTGTTCGCTGCGAGTGTTGTTAAAATTAGGTACACAAACCCGGGCGGGGGTTATTCGAGATTTTTCAATTTTCTGTCTTAATACTTTATCAATCGAGCCCAAATTTTCAAGTTATGTTAGTTATAAGTTTATTTATATACGAGGTAAAATTGCGCCGAAATGCTCGATATTTTAGATTTTCTTCGAAGATATTTGATTTCCAAGTTGGTAAAATGGGAAGGCAGTATCAAGCTGACATTTTACATTAAATTTACAAATTATTCTGATATTAAACATAATATTTTAACTATTTATAAGCATTTCTTCTTTCAAATGTGCTTTTGTTGCTTTAAATAACACATTTTAAGAAAACCTGGGTCATTAAAACCGGACCAATGATGAAGAAAACTCCAAAATGATTGTGTAGTTTCTGTCACCTGAAAAATATAACTCTATATTCACGTTATTTGTTGGATGATTGAATTTCAGTTTTACTGATATAAAAAATATTAAATATTTTGATAATTACTAGTATGCCCTTATAAATTGAGTGGGTTTTTTTAGGACCCCTTTATATTAGCTAGCTTCCACTGAACTGACATTTCTTTATTTCAGGATAGTAACTGTTCATGCGCAGTCGCGTGATTCTGGGGACCGGGGCTATTTTTCTTTTCGGCCAACCCATGATGCTCTGCAAAGTAGTGCGGAAAGTCATGGGTAGGCGTGGCCGGAACCAGGCCAGACCGGGGCATACTATAGAAACTTCCCCCGGTTTTTATGAAAATATGTATTAATTTTTTGTATAGAAATAGCACTTTTCAATAAAGAAATAAATATCTCTAGTAAGCACACAGTGTTTGACATCAGAATAACTCAAAAAAAAATATTTTGTCAATGTCTCGTTTGGCAAAAAATACGTAAAATGTCGGCTTGATATTGCCTATTTTAGCAAATTGGAAATCAAATATCGCCAAAAATAATCTAAAATATTGAGATTTTCAAAATATAGATACATGTACACATGTATACATGTATAAATATTGGCAATTTTTACAGCGAATACAGATAAAACTTAGAGATGTAGCATCGTTTTTGAAAGGGGCTGCCAGAGAAAAAAAAAATAACCTACCTAAAACTCTTGACAAGCAAAAAAAAAAAAAAAAAAAAAAAAAGAGAGGAAAATTCTTCAAACTCGAAAATTCTATTTTTGGGGGAAGGGGGTCCAACATCTTCCAAATTCATTCTTTCAAAGTTTACTCATACATCACTATGTACATGGCCCCTATTTGATAAAACTGCAACAAAAAGTGGGAGGGGGAAACCAGACTTTCATTGAACATTTTCAGTAGTAAAAAGTTATGGCTAGAAAAATGTTGGTGACCAGCCCCCCCCCCCCCCCCCCTCGCTACCGGTGTCATATTAGTGAGTCTTCCCCCCGGAAGTCTGGCTATATAGTGAGACTTCCCCTCCGGGGGGGGGGGGGCGGCGGGGGGGGGGGGCAATGACTATATAGTGAGTCTTCCGTCCTAAACGACCATAGTGAGATTTCCCCTTCCATGTTTTGTTTGGATTTTATTTACATCAACGATGTATATATTGCATATTTAGGTTATGATCTTATATATCTAAAAAAACAGATGTTTAGTTTCAAATGAATCATATAAAAGTGTGCATTAAAAATTTATCGTGCACAACAGATTATTGTATTGTTCCGAGACGATTCTTATCAAAAGAAAAAAAGACATAATTAGTTTAACAGTAAAGAGGTCATTACCTGTAGAAACGTGCAGTTTACCTATGTTTACCTGCATGGTTAAGATGTTTTAAATTTTATAAAAATCACTATAAAAATGTTTTAATTATTTATTCATATATTTATTTATTCATATAGGACGGAGAAATTTTATCCAAACACTGAAAACGTTAGTATATAAACATTGTTTTACAATAAAAAAAATATTCGGAAACTAAATTAAAGGGGGGAAGTTTCGCTATGAAGGGGGGGGAGACTGATTATATAGTGAGACTTTCCCCCGGAAGACTGGCTATATAGCGAGACTTCCACTGGAGAAGTCTCACTATATATCTAGTCTTCTGGGAGAAGTCTTACCATCTAGCCAGACTTCAGGGGGAACGACACCGGGTACATGCCTGAACCTATAACATACATCATTTGAAAATTTGGATTCGATTGATAAAGTATTAAGAAAGAAAATTGAAAAATCTCGAATAACCCCCGCCCGGGTTTGTGTACCTAATTTTAACAACACTCGCAGCGAACACCCTGCCACCTAGCGTTATAATGCCGCATTAATGTATTCGTCTTCGTTGAATGCGCTTCGTGGTTTGCGTGACTGAATTTACATTTGTAATAGAGATGATCATAATTATTTATTAAAGAAACTGTATCAATTTAAAAGAAAGAAGAACGAATTTACAAGAATAAAGCAACATAGAAGTAAGGACAAAATGAAGAATGAAAAAAGTTCCAAGTGAAATGTAATAAAGACGAATATGAAAACAATAAAGTGACATATAGTTACAATAATAACAAAGAATAAAGAAGTAGGCAGAATAAGAATAAAAGCAAGATAAATAGACTTTTGGCGGTAATTCCCTTCCATAAACCTTTTACCAAAAATGCGAATTCATGGCCCAGCGTCAATGATTCAAACACTAGGATGGGATCTAGTTGGTCATAAATCAAAGCTAACAAACTATTTGCATGATGATAACTAAGTCTTAATTCTCTACCAAAATTCATCATCCTTGGGTTACGGTTCATGCCCTAATGCTCGATAAGTTGGTCATATACTGAAACGCAAAAGAAACGCAACACGCAGTAATCTACAAATAATTGAATTTTTTATCTAATGGTTTTCAAAAATTAATATACTAAGATAAAACTTGATTTGAAAACATCAGAGACTTGATAAAAATGTTAAATGATTATCTTTTAACTTTAGAAAGTAACACGTGACTGTTCAAACATCCCCCACCCCGACCATTCAATTACAGCGTGCAAGACTGTAATGCACAACAGTTGCAGCTTGATTTCTACGGTGCAATAGGTTCATCAATCTCGAGATCTAAGCTAAAGAAATATTTTTTCCCAGTTTTAAATGCCTGTTATTCAGATGATGAGGTCGAATTTTCTCTAGCCAAGCGCAGTGTAGTTACCCTTGGACTTCCAGTCCAAGGACTGTCATTTATGCAAAGTTGAAGATGTCCTTACTTTTTAGAAACAAAATTATATCTTATATGTAATATTTCCCCCTAAAATAGGATGTTGCGTTTCAGTATATATTGAAATACAGAACATCTTTGAAAGGCCTCTTCAATCAGTAGGCAATCTTAAAATCCATGTCCTCTGAGTTAAGGTTCAGATCCGAAGAAAGTATTAAGTTAGTCGAACATGTATATTTAAATAAATAGTACAGTGTGACTTTAAGTATCTTTCTGAACTTCTTGGAGACAGGTTGCTTGAATTAATAATAATTATAGAGTCCTAACGACTCTATGAAATTGTTTTGACACATGACCCAAAACTTGCAGTTTCGGTTGGGGTCAAAGTGGCCAAAGCTTAAGACAATCATGATACCCATGTGGCTGTCTAAGCCTATGAGCCTCTTTTTCCTAAATAGATTTGAGGATGATATTAAGTGTTTGAATAAATTTAACGCTGTTAATCTTAAAATGAAAATTACAGGACATTTCTGCATTTCTGAACCCTTCAATTAAGCTCAAACACACAAATTTTACAATTCATTTACATACTTCAACTTTATCAATCAATGTTGATTATCTTTTAATGCTTTTTAATATTTCAAAAAATGAATGCATTCACATTAGTTTTCTTTGGATTACTTGAAGTGTCGTTTGTCTTGTTTAAGTTCTGTAGAGATTAAAAATATTCTCAAATACATTCACCATACACTGAATGTACATAACATACCCTTATTTCAATGAAATATGTTAAATAGTACATAAGAGCAATAATTAAAATTTTCAATCATTTCAATTATCTCTGAGAGTTTCATAATATGGATTTTGACGATGATTATATTTAATTACAGTAATTACTTAAAAAAAATAATAAATTATATACATGTATGCAAAAAAACAACACGTATCCTCATAAATTATACCAAGTGAATAACTTTATAAGAAGACGGCTATACAAATCTCGATCGATATATTGTATATTACACAATAAGAATCTAGATGGGTTTTTTTTTTATATTTCGGAGAGGAATAAATCTTTTTAAAACAATGTCAAAAATAAATCTATTCAAAGTTTATCATAACTTGTTTTAACCTGCATAGAAAAACATTACAAAATCGTAAAATTAGGAAACCTGGATGTACAGTAAGTCAAGACATGACACTTAAAAAACATACACATTAGTATATCTTTATATAGGGTCATTAAGTGCTACAAAGGAACACAATGGGCTTATAGTGTACTAAAGAGGCAGACTGTAGGTGTCATGACTGAAGAGTCGGTAGTTAAGGACATTGGCAAGGTTCCTGGTTATTGTATAGAATTTTTCAAGAACTTTTGAGTAGGTTTAAATGTACTAAATAGGCTATATTCTGGATCGTTTTACCTACCAATCCAGCATTCTTTTTTAGATTTTGTCAAATTAGTGTTTTTACAATTCTTAATGCATTTCCTATGTAAAATGTTGATAAAAGGGACCTACATAATTTTTTACCATAATATTTCTTCAAAACCCATTTATTTCATACAGTTTTTGTATTATATACATTATTGTAACTTCATTTCCTATGACTTCTAGATATTTTGGTTGAAAATGTATATATAGAAAAAAGACATGGATACACCGGCACCGATCATCATTTTTGAGTTGCGTCCCTTAACAGCTAAAATTGGTCAAGTGACTGGTTGATTGTTTTTATCATGTAATTGACTGAATTGATTGAAACACGTTGTCATAAAAATATTGGCATGGATTTATTTTTAACTTTTATTCGTAATTACTAAATGCTGATTCCTTCACACGACCTAAGAACTGTTCTCAGTCGGCATGGTCGACCTACCTTTCAGCATATGTCACATCTTTGCCCTTCCCAGCATACTGAGCATAACTATGGTAAATGACGACCTGTTTGCTCTTTGTCCCTGAATACAATGTACAACAAAGCCATTACTACTTTTCAATCTTGCTGTATAGATGATTCTACCCGTTGAAGGAAGTGCACGTGCTTTTGTTTACCTCTATAACATACGCTTTACTGGTTTTCACCGCTTAGAGAATTCTACACGGGAGATCACTCTCAATCACTATTTTACAAGTGAAAAAACCCATGTATTAAACCTTTTTTCTCCGGATAGCCCTGACTTGCCAATGTCCTTAAAGAGGATATATAGAAAAATAAGACATATTAAAATACATGTGTTGTCAATGTCAGATAAAGGATATACAGAAGGACTAGGTACAGAAAGGTTTCTTCGTATTACTTTGTGTAATATCTATCTCAAAATCGTAAATAATCTTAAATAATGCTTCTTGTTTTAACTTTTCTTTTATAGCAAATGTTTATCTATTTCATAAACATCTTTCTTATACAGGTCATATGTACATTTTCACTGAATTGTTGAGATTATTCTATTTAATTAAGATAGAATAGACTGTGATACTAACATTTATCAGTTTATTTCATACTAACTATTAACGGGTCGCTGTCGCTTCCCAGTGCTATGACAACATTCCAATAATCCACTGAACTGGGGAATAATCGATCAAAAACATTGTAATAGACATACCTTAAAAGACTGAATAATAATAAGGTATTTCAAAATAAAATACTTACCATCCTGGTAGAAGCTCGTCAGGGTCACACTTAGGGACCCTGACGTTGACCTGTTGAATACCTATTCCGTCTGTGAGGGTAACTTTGTTCTCTGCTCCTAGACGTACCTTTACGTCATCCGTTAAATTTGTATCCATTTCTTCTTTCAAATCTTCGTTCACCAACTCTTCACACTAGGTATTTTGATCAACTGTAGACTTTAACATGACGTTCAGACTGGTAATTTAAATACTCCAATTAATAACGGCGCACAAGTGACGAATAGCACTTCTTTTACCTATACATTAATCTGTGGTGTTTATTTAAACTTCCAGCGAAGCAAGAAATGTGTTCAATACCTTGAAGTAAAATCCATGTCAATTTAAAAATCATTTTCCAGTTCAAAACAAGACAGGTCCTATGACCTGTAAGGAGGTTACACATTCATCAATACATGGCTGAATACCTAGTTATCGGTTCCGTTGGTAAGATATATCTTTGTTTTGATATCGTATGGATTACCTGTATATAACGGAAAGAAATTATCGAATAAAGAGTTGTCACTCTTGTCTCTTATTCTAAGAGGCTTTTCTTTTTCAAATAATTGCTTAATTTTTATCTTACCAAAATACTTCACTTTGGCGTATTTATTATATTTTATTGTAAAATATGGCATAAATTTCCATCTATTATTAAAAAAATTTAATTCCTTTAGATCCATTCATTACCATTTTACGTTTATGAATAAAACTTTTTATTTTTTGCAAGTTTTGTATTCTCTACAAATTAAAAATCTTTAAAATGTGCATAGATTCAGTCAAAACAGATACTGTCACTGTTGTCGCTTGTACTTTCCAGTTTCTTTTTATGTATTTCAAAATATTGAATGAGGAAAGAAAATAAAAAACATAGAAAATTCCTGTCCAGCCTTTGTGTTTGTTTTATGTTAATTTCTATTTAAAATTTCCATTTGAACTTTTTTTTTTATTAATGTAGAACTATTGGTAAAGTGAATTTTCAAGTGGTATAGGATGCAATACTGTTAATATTGAATATATATATATATATATATATATATATATATATATATATATAATCAATGTAATTTATTAGGTATCATAACTTTTATCAATTGTGATTAATGCGTACTTAAATGGCCCATCATGGGCCTTGTTTTTTCTAAAATAAAACATGGAGATTACGAACAGTATTCAAGCTCAGAAATAAAAATGATGAGCAGAGCAAGAACGGAGCTCTATAACATCAGAGGTGGGATCAGGTGCCATGGAGGAGTGGGCATCCCCTGCCGACCGGTCACACCGCCATGTTCTTCTTGTCATGATCGGGAGAAACGGAAAAATCCATAGACAATTCAGTGTGTAAATAATGGCCTAACAATAAGTATGAAATATGTGAGTCAGCATTGGACTTAATGATAGACTGTATTTGCTGACATGGTCATTGTATTGACCATAGAAATTGCGAAATGATGACTTTAAACGAGACTGTTGATATTCTTGTTTCATTAACTTGTTTGTCAATAGCTTGTCTCGTTTTAGAAATTGTTTGTACTTAGAGCATACTCTTGCTTTTCGAATCAACTGGGAGACATAAACACCATATGCAGGTGATAAGAGTATATTGCTACATATGTAAGGGAAGTTGACTTTTGAGTCATCACGTTTATCATAAAGCTTAATGTTAGGTTACTATTAACGACTTTTTTTCTAGTAAAATGTTCAAATATGAAACAGATATGACAGACTCTGTGGTATGTATATCTTTTCTATAATATTTAACGACTTCGCAAGATAATAAAGCCCCGAATTCTATTTGTTTTTTCCTGTATTTTATTAGCTATTCTATTACAGATTTTTAAGTAAGTTTTTCGGACCAACTCTGTTTTTCTCTGTTATAAGTAAACTTTTAATACAGTATTTTTCCTTTTTAAATCTATTTATTTATTGAGAAAAAGAGAGGTATAAAAACCTCGTTTCAATCATGATTTATGCTGAATTTAGTCGAAAATAAGAGATATATGTATATATGAGCTCAAATGTAGTCAGTAAGAAGACAAGAGACTTGAGTAAGCGCTGAATCTCGAGTGTCTCCTGTGAAAGATAGTTTTTTAAAATAAATCTAAAACTATATTGAAATTGCACTAACAAGTATCATAATTAAAATCACTAATCATATTGAACAGATCCCACACTAGGAAAAGCAAGTTTGAATGAAATGGAAATGTCAAAGATCAGAAATTAAGAGAATGAATGGGCTGACAGGATGCTATGAATTAGCAATCGGTAAAAACCCAACACCAGGGAAAACGTAAAGTTCAGTGTCTCCCGGTTTGTTCTCCTGAACGTTCTCCTAAGACTTTTACAAATATCTCGTCAAGTTAAAATGAATGGTATATAGGATTTTATTTTTGTTTGAGGGATGCTCCCCTTGACAATTTTTAAAAGAATAATTATCAAAACTGGTCAATGACCATAAAGGAGAATGATAACAGTAAAATTCTGCAATCTATGATCAATACAACACACATCTAGGAAAGCAATAACCCTCAGAAATGCAAGCTTGAAATACCAAGTGCATAGATTTCAGTTCTATATACAAACTATTTCAAAGTTATATCCGTTGTATTTTTTAAAATTCAATACTAAATAAAATAGAAACAGGAACTATGTTGCATAAGAGATCTTCAAACTAATATCTCGTCTAGGTATGAATAATTCCAGTTCTAGCTCCCCGCTAAAATGTGAAGAAAAAAAAAACCCAGCAATCATGCTAAAAAGAACCACTAGAACAATATAAATTGAAAGCAGAACGTTCGCAGATCATGAAAATATCAGAGAGGATCAGGTGCTTTGGAGGAGTAAGCACCCTCCCTCGTCGACCATTTCTTTGCCATGATCAGGTTAACAGAGAAATCCGTAGACAATTCAATATTTAAAAAAAAGGCCTAACAGTTTGTCAGTCAACATTCAACCTCTAGACAGATTTTATTGCAAACAGTGTCATTGTAACGACTATAAAATTTATGATTCGATACGCAAGCGCATGCTATACGTACGAACAATTTCTAAAACGAGGAAAGCTATTGACAAACAAGTTGATGAAACAAGAATATCAACAGTCTCATTTAAAGTCATCATTTTGCAAGTCCTATGGTCGATAAAATGATTTTGTCAGCAAATACAATCTATCATTAAGTCGTTTTTCATACCAATTGTTAGGCAATTATTTTTACATTGAATTGTCTACGGGTTTTCCCTTTTTCCGATCATGACGAGGAACACACGACGGTGAGACAGGTCAACAGGGGATGCGTACTCCTCAATGGCACCTGAGGCCACTAATTGTTAGCCCATTATTTATCGTCGATACAATGACCTTGTCAGCAAATACAATCTATCATTAAGCCGAATGCTGAATGACGTTTTTCATACGACACAAGTAATGCACATGTGTAAAATGATATAAAAAACAGAGTATACAATCGGAAAGATCTTGAAACAGGTAATGCACATGTCAAATGTACATGCCATATCTTCTCTCAATCAAAAGTTATCAGCAATATTAATTTTTTTGAAAATTATCTCAAATTTCAAGGTCAAGGTTATTGGTTAAAAACATAGTACATTTGGAACTACTTGTCACAGGTAATGCACGTGTCAAAGATGCATGCCCTATCTTCGCTCCTTCAAAAGTTAGCAACACTGATAAAATGTTTGAAAATTAGGTCATACTTGAAAGTGAAGGTCACGGGGTTAAATATCATCCACATTCGGATACATTTTCATGTAAAAGGTATTGAATAAATTCTGCTTCATAAGAATACAAAAATATGCCTGCTATTTATGGGACACAATTAGTACCTACGGGATTGTAACAGATTGTTGGAAAGTCTGGTCTCCAAAGACTACATAGATATTGTCAATGAGGAACTCCGGCATCTTTTTAATATCAACTTCAGAGAACTTGTGTGTAGAATTGGAATGTTTTCTTAACAAAGTGAGTTTGTAGATGACCAGTGACAAGATAGGAAAATTTGCGAGTTCCATTCTTATTAAAAACCAGTTATCTATGATGTCAAAAAGCATGGTCATTAATTGATCGTGGGAAATGGTTCATACAAACAATTGAAAGAATGTAAAGTTTCTATTAGAGATATATTCGAAGACTCCTTTTCCGATCCCATGTCTTCTATTTCAGAATGTTCTGCAAAAAAATGTTAAACCTGTGACATTTTGATAACTAACACTTCTTTCACCAGTAATCTTACTGGACAGAGCTTCTGTACCAAAACTTGGGAAAATCTGAACTGCAAATCTTCTAATGTTGTCTACGGAATAGAATGTAATCTTTGTGGACTTGTTTATGTTGGTGAAACCAAGGGATCACTCAATAAAAGAACATCAGGTCATAGATTTCAGATAAATAATGGGGGTCAGCAACTTTTATACAAACATTTTAATTTACCTGATCATTCAATTTTGTCAATGAAAGTTAGAATTCTGGAAAAGATTTACCACCACACAAACAGTCCATCACTGAGTACGCCTTTCCGTAGACAACGAGAAGAATTTTGGCTAAGAAACCTAGGGACAGCCTTTCCCTATGGATGTAATGACAATGTCGATAGTGTTGGAAATCTTTCCAGTCCACAGTGTAACAATGTAAATGTGATGGGACTTTTTAACCATACACAGAGACGTAAGCGTAGTCATGGGCATCGGTCTTACAATAAACCTTTAATACACGATGTCTCTTTTGATTCATTACTACCTTACGTAAATCAACAGTTAGGGTTACATCATATTCGCACCAAACTTTACTCTGTCCCTTTGAAACTTTTAAATAGTCTTCTTGAAAAGGTCAAGGAAAGTCCATTTTTTGATTCCTCGACACCAGAATATAGGCTCGGATCTGTAGTTATGGATATTGCCAATCATAGGCTTTTTAAACCCCTGCGTTTTACTGAAGAAAATGCAGCTAAAACAATCCGTTTTTTCCTTAAACTTCAATATGCCAACAAAGGAATTGACGCTGTTAATATAAGTAATATCCTTAATCACAAAAGGGTCCAGTCTTGATTCCACCATATTTCAAGTTAAAGACAACACCTTGTATTTCCTACAAATATACATCGAATATTGCTTCCAAACTTTTTAATTACAAGAAAACTTTACAGGGCCTGGATATCGAATATCTGAAACATAATCCTCCATCGTGTTCATGTTCTTCTTCGCCCTATAACTATAGTCCTGCTGGACACGTTATTACTGGTGACGTAAATATAGTTAATAATGAGGATCTTTGATCACTAATTTTAAAAGGTCCTAAAATTTAGGGAACCCAGATCCTTCAACTGGCGTAAGAATTTCATAAATATTATGGATTCTGTAGAGGACTACGCCAGGCGATGGGCCAGACATGAAAAAGAAGACCTTGACACTTTGTCAGAATGGATTAAATGT